CCGTGAGGGGCGGGGGCCATAGTGGGCGCTCCGAAAGGAACTCGCGAAGCCCCCGCCCCACAGCGGCGCTCGCCGAGGTAAGGTCGACGAGTGCTGCCGCACCCTCACCTCGGATGGAGTCCGAGGCCCAGCAGCAGCCATGCTGCCCAATTCCAGATTGCACTGAGCTAGTCAGGCTACTGTGTCAGCCCTGGCTATCTTGCTCTCTCACTCCCGCCTTTCTTGGGCCAACTCAATTGCCCGAACATTGCTTCTTTCATCATTACCTTCATAGCAGTACCTGCCGTTTTTTTGAGACCCACGGAGCTTCTCCCCCCCCGACAGTGAGCAGGTTGTCAGGATGGAGGTACATACGGATGGGTCTGGTGGGACCAAACAGCAGCACTTGGATGGACCACCGTCTTGGGCATGGTGCATATTTTCGGTCACGACGACTGGCAGGTACATCTGTGAAGGGTACTTGTGTGGTGTCGACCCTGATCTCTCCACCTCTGTTGCGAGCCCGTCTGGAGCTGCAGAATTTTAAGCTGCACTGTGGCTGGTGCTATGGTTATTGCAAGCTCCTCCTCGTTTTCGGGCCCAACCCGTGGTGGTATACACAGATAACATGCTGGTGGTTTCCGCTGCCGACGGGGGAACGAGATATGTGTCGTGCGGTGATTTCCCATGGCTTTTTGACGGAGCCCTCAAGTTATTACGTCAGTTTACGAAGCTGAGCTGGAATCACGTTCACGGCCACAATGCCGATCCGCTGAATGAGCTTGCAGATACCATAGCACGACTGGCCTCCATGGGAATTGCGCCGACAGTAGAACCTGACTTTCAACCGTGGTCAGTTTTGCTCACGTCAGCCTATCTTGTACCATGGATGTGGATGTCTGCCAGCACCAACGTCGGTCATGGGGAGTATCCGAATGTTGGCGCATGCGAAATGCCCTCCATCAACCCTCCCGAGCTAGATCTCAGAACTGCCTTCTTGCCACCTGCTGGACGCGGCTCGGAAAACTCGTCTGTGCCTCGAGTATCTCCGACATCAGGTTTGCAGCCGCAGGTGAATTTTGCAGTGGCGAACGTACTCACACTGCAGCCCCGCAGGAAGGCAGCCCGACGAGGGAGAGGTACTCGAATACGGTGTCGGTACCAAGATGCGGCAGGCCTGGGTTTGCCCGGACGCATGCTCGCACTGGCTCATCAGTTCTCCGCGCACAACTTTCATGTGGTTGGCACGCTCGAGACTCGGTTGTGTCGTAACGGTTGGACAGCAGCAGGAGATTTTCTTGTCATTACCGCAGCAGCCGAATCCAAGGGGAAGGCAGGAGTGGCCCTATGGATCAACACACAACATGAGTACGCATGTGGGCACACGCTCGCGCGCCGTCATGTACGTGTGATCAGTTTCTCGTCTCGGCATTTGTTGGTAGCCATACGTGCGCCTCACATGTGTTTGGACGTGCTCGTCGGCCATGCTCCTCACTCTCGCCGTCCTCCTGCTGAAGTCGAAGCATGGTGGGCTCATGTGACGTCAGTGCTACGTGGGCGAACCCAGCCGGCCCCCCTGTACTGTCTATTGGAGGCGAATGCGACTTTGGGATCACAGGTGTCAGATCATGTCGGTGACGTGGCGGCCGAGGTTGAAAATGCCAATGGACAGTGCTTTCACAAGTTCCTGCGTGACTCGGACCAGTGTGCGTTGTCTACATTTCTGCCGTCATACTCTGGGATCCATGGGACCTGGTTGCCACCTGGGGCTCAGGGCCAAAATCCGCCGCGACGTATCGACTACATTACGATCCCTACGGGCCAACTATCCAGCGTCATTCGTCAGGGAGTCGATATCGATATCGAGCTAGCGATGCGATGTGACGACCACTTTGTGGTAACTGCTGATGTGTACGTGTGCCGTGCCGATCAGTATGAGCCAGCCGTCACATGGACACGCTCCCGACACGACGAAGCTAAGCATGCTGATCCCGAGTGTCGTGCTGCGTTTGAAGATGCCCTCCGTATGGTGCCCTCGCCGACGTTCACAACACACCCAGACGATCATGCCGCATATCTCAACAGGCATATCTTGGAGGCCGCCGCAATCGCATTTCCGCCCAAAAAGTCCGACAGTGGCCGCGAGCCCCGTCGCAGTTGGATTTCCCAGGGATCCCTCGACCTTATGGATCAGCGCACGGCTGGGAGACGTGCGCTGCGGGCCCTACGGGCTCAGCTACCCAGGCTTCTACTGGCGTGTGTATTTGTGGCGCGAGCCTCGGACGGGGCCATGGATGGCGAATGGTTCTGTCACCGGACACGCCGTTTCCGACATAGTGACCGTGACGGGCCGTCGCACCATCCACTCTTGCAGACATGTCGTCGGATCGCGGATGCCGCTGACCAGGTTCTTGATGCTACCAAGGTTTTTGCGACGCCTCTACGAACACCACAGGGCAAGCTGAGCTACCCACCGTTTACCCAGGACCACATCGTCGGCTTGCGATACCTAGGACGGCTGCCCACTGCGTATGAGCTAGCCGACGTCCCACGTGGTTTTCGGTTTCAGCTGCCCAGCGTTCTTAACTTTTACCT